CACAACTCCTTGTTCAAGCTCTTGTTCTGTCCAGGCTGGACTATTGCAATGCTCTCTTGGCAGGTCTTCCAGTCAGTTATATCAAACCTTTACAACTAATCCAGAACGCGGCAGCAAGATTAATTTTTAATGAGCCAAAAAGAATGCACGCCACACCTCTGTTTATCAATTTGCACTGGCTACCAGTAGCTGCTCGCATAAAATTCAAGGCATTAATGTTTGCCTACAAAACCACCACTGGCTCTGCACCCATTTACCTAAATTCATTACTTCAGAGTTATGTGCCCTCTAGAAGCTTGCGTTCTGCAAGTGAACGTCGCTTTATTGTGCCATCCCAAAGAAGCACAAAATCACTTTCACAGACTTTTACATTAACCGTTCCCTCCTGGTGGAGTGACCTGCCCAACTCAATCCCAGCAGCTGAGTCCTTAACCATCTTCAAGAAACGGCTAAAAACACATCTGTTCCATCTTTATTTGACCCTCTAACTCTAGCACTCTCTATTCTAATTCTATTCTGTAAAAAAAAAAAAAGTATCCCTTTTAGACTTGCACTCTATTTATTTACTGCTTTGTTTTCTTAAAAAAAAAAAACTAACACTTGCTTTCTAATCTTTTTGTATTCTGTTTTCTTTTCATTTATTATACAATTAACAAAAGCAAAAAGAGCACTAGCTTGCTCTATTCTTTTTCTATTCTATCTGTTTTCTTTTTATTTATTATATTATATAAAAAAAAACCTTGCTATGTGTACTGCATAGCACTTGCATATCATTGCTCTTTTGTTGATTTTGATTGCTTCTATTGTTCTCCTCATTTGTAAGTGGCTTTGGATAAAAGCGTCTGCTAAATGACTAAATGTAAATATGTAAAAATCACAATTGATTTAAGTTTTGAGAGCTAGTTATTACTCGGGGCTAGTTGTCACAAGGTCTGTATTTCAGTAACTGTAAGATCTTGGGTCAAAAGTTCAATTGCACAAATCCGTTTTATCTAGCGGTGCTTTTGTATGTTGGTTTTAAACACCAGATCCAAACAGTTATTATTTCTGATTTAAACTAAAATTAAAACAACATAAAATCACACACATTGATACAGGAATAAACTATATACTGAAGGTAGATTTTAACTGAAACTGTTCAGCTGTGAGCATTTTTCATAAATGTTAAAAAAACAATAAAAGTAAAAAAAAAAAAAAAGACTAAAATATTAAATGCAAACAAAAGAAAAAATATGCATATCTATATTTAAAAGATATCATACTGTATAGCTTTGCAGCTAAATGTGAAAAGTAAAACTACAAAAGAAATGAATATCTGAAGCAACAAAATTACACAAATACTGTGCATGAAAAATTGCTAAAGAAAATTTTAATTAAAGAATTGTATAAAATGACAAATACGTATAAACACATGACAACGTTTAGGACGAATTCAAAATGTTTTAGTAATTTTATCAAATTCATTTTACAACTTCTTTTAGCAAATTAATTATATTTTGGACAAACAGTATTTGTGTGTAATTCATTTTTTTGTAGCTTCAGATAAATTTTCCTGAGAAGTCAAAGTATATATTTTAAATATAGATATACAGACGTGTATTTCTTTATTTGTATTTAATAGTTTAGTCAAAACTAAAGTTTATGTTTATGTCTATGCATATTGAAAAATGATTGAAAAGCACAAAAATTACCCTGAGTTACAAGATTTAACGGTTTATTTGAATTGAAACAGAAAATCTCAAGCTTCGATGCTTTTTCAAAGAGTTTGTTGTGCTTTTTTCTGAATGACTTTTATTACAGATAATAAAAAAATTAAGTAATTGCAACTTTTTATCTCACATATTCAGACTTTTTTCTCACATTTCTGAGAAAAAAAAAAAGAATTGCAAGAAATAAACTCAGAATTTAGATAAATTTGCAATTCAGAAAAAAAGACTTGCTATTCTAAGAAACTTGCTTTTTTAAGAAAACAGTCAGAATTGTGAACTAGAAATGTGCAATTCAGAGAAAAAAAGTCAAAATTGCAAAAAATAAACTCAGAATTGATATTTCCGAGAAAAGAAAAAAAAAGTCAGAATTGTGAGAAATAGTTGCAATTACCATTTTCTTATTTTTATTCCATGGTGGAAACAGGCTTCCATGCTCATCAAATATGATTTAGTTTACAGTGGATTATTTCCCATGTTCAATTGGAGAAATTATATTTACCCATCCCATCGACTGAAACTATATGAAATCACAAAGCGAATCCAGAATGATTTGCTCACGAGCAACAGAGCCTTCAGTCTCAGCAGATGTCATCTCCAGCGGCGTCCTGCTCTTTGGCCTGTAGGTGGCGCTGTGACAGATAGTGTCTGAGTGCATCCACCTCGTGCGACAGGTGCTGGATGTGCAGCTGCAGGCTGTGGTTCTCGTCCTGGAGCTGCAGCGCCCTCTGCTGGGTCAGCTGGATCCGCCGGCGCGCTTTATCACGACTCTTCCTCACCGCGATGTTGTTGCGCTCTCTGCGCAGACGGTATTCCACGCTGTCTTTGCTCGGGCCGCGCTTCTGTCCCATCGGCCGCAGGGTGGAGGCCGGGGGCGGCACAAGAAACTGAGAGAAATCCTTCCCAGAGATTCGTGGAGTTACCGAGAACGGGAAAAAAAATAAGTTAAGTGAAAGCGATACATAGAGAGCTAGTTATTACTCGGGGCTAGTTGTCACAAGGTCTGTATTTCAGTAACTGTAAGATCTTGGGTCAAAATTTCAATTGCACAAATCTGTTTTATCTAGCGGTGCTTTTGTATGTTGGTTTTAAACACCAGATCCAAACAGTTATTATTTCTGATTTAAACTAAAATTAAAACAACATAAAATCACACACATTGATACAGGAATAAACTATATACTGAAGGTAGATTTTAACTGAAACTGTTCAGCTGTGAGCATTTTTCATAAATGTTAAAAAAACAATAAAAGTAAAAAAAAAAAAAAAGACTAAAATATTAAATGCAAACAAAAGAAAAAATATGCATATCTATATTTAAAAGATATCATACTGTATAGCTTTGCAGCTAAATGTGAAAAGTAAAACTACAAAAGAAATGAATATCTGAAGCAACAAAATTACACAAATACTGTGCATGAAAAATTGCTAAAGAAAATTTTAATTAAAGAATTGTATAAAATGACAAATACGTATAAACACATGACAACGTTTAGGACGAATTCAAAATGTTTTAGTAATTTTATCAAATTCATTTTACAACTTCTTTTAGCAAATTAATTATATTTTGGACAAACAGTATTTGTGTGTAATTCATTTTTTTGTAGCTTCAGATAAATTTTCCTGAGAAGTCAAAGTATATATTTTAAATATAGATATACAGACATGTATTTCTTTATTTGTATTTAATAGTTTAGTCAAAACTAAAGTTTATGTTTATGTCTATGCATATTGAAAAATGATTGAAAAGCACAAAAATTACCCTGAGTTACAAGATTTAACGGTTTATTTGAATTGAAACAGAAAATCTCAAGCTTCGATGCTTTTTCAAAGAGTTTGTTGTGCTTTTTTCTGAATGACTTTTATTACAGATAATTAAAAAATTAAGTAATTGCAACTTTTTATCTCACATATTCAGACTTTTTTCTCACATTTCTGAGAGAAAAAAAAAGAATTGCAAGAAATAAACTCAGAATTTAGATAAATTTGCAATTCAGAAAAAAAGACTTGCTATTCTAAGAAACTTGCTATTTTAAGAAAACAGTCAGAATTGTGAACTAGAAATGTGCAATTCAGAGAAAAAAAGTCAAAATTGCAAAAAATAAACTCAGAATTGATATTTCCGAGAAAAGAAAAAAAAAGTCAGAATTGTGAGAAATAGTTGCAATTACCATTTTCTTATTTTTATTCCATGGTGGAAACAGGCTTCCATGCTCATCAAATATGATTTAGTTTACAGTGGATTATTTCCCATGTTCAATTGGAGAAATTATATTTACCCATCCCATCGACTGAAACTATATGAAATCACAAAGCGAATCCAGAATGATTTGCTCACGAGCAACAGAGCCTTCAGTCTCAGCAGATGTCATCTCCAGCGGCGTCCTGCTCTTTGGCCTGTAGGTGGCGCTGTGACAGATAGTGTCTGAGTGCATCCACCTCGTGCGACAGGTGCTGGATGTGCAGCTGCAGGCTGTGGTTCTCGTCCTGGAGCTGCAGCGCCCTCTGCTGGGTCAGCTGGATCCGCCGGCGCGCTTTATCACGACTCTTCCTCACCGCGATGTTGTTGCGCTCTCTGCGCAGACGGTATTCCACGCTGTCTTTGCTCGGGCCGCGCTTCTGTCCCATCGGCCGCAGGGTGGAGGCCGGGGGCGGCACAAGAAACTGAGAGAAATCCTTCCCAGAGATTCGTGGAGTTACCGAGAACGGAAAAGAAAATAAGTTAAGTGAAAGCGATACGTAGAGATTTCCAAGAAATGTAATGCATTGGAGCACCATACATACAACTAGAGCTCCTCAACTAAAAGTAAAACCAGAAAATAAGATAAAATAACATTTAACTGAAATAAAATATTACAAAAATATAAACGTATTATATTGCTAGTTGCCAAGGCAACATTTCTAATTTTCGTTCAGTTTAACTTGAAAATAACTTGTAAAAATAAATATATATATATATATATATATAATAACCTATTTAAAAAATAATAATAACAACATGTTAAAATTAAAATTAAAATTAAAAGGTGTCATTTTTCTCTACTAGCCTGGGTGAAATTCATGTAATAATATGAAATAATAAAATGAAAACACTTCTCTATTATAAATCTTGGAGGGATTTGTTATAATTATTTCAGTAACTGCAATAATTTCCTGCACACATAAAATAATGAAAAAAAGGATTTATTTATTTAACTATTTACTATATTATTTACCGACCTATTTAAAAAATAATAATAACAACAGCAAACTAAAACTAAAATTATAATGTGTCATTTTTCTCTACTAGCCTGGGTGAAATTCATGTAATAATATGAAATAATAAAATGAAAACACTTCTCTATTATAAATCTTGGAGGGATTTGTTATAATTATTTCAGTAACTACAATAATTTCCTGCACACATAAAATAATGAAAAAAAGGATTTATTTATTTAACTATTTACTATATTATTTACTGTTTAATTTTACTTTTAATCTCAGACTTGTATGCATTTATTTATTTATTTACTATTATTGTGGTCATCAAACTTAATGTTATTATACAAACATTCAATATATAATTACTAATATTAACTATTTACCACATAATTTTTATTTAATGATTAATTTTACTTGTAATTTCAGTCATTTATTTATTTATTCTAACTTAATATTATTATACAAACATTAAATATATAATTACTAATATTTAATTTAAATTAAATATATAATTACTAATTCAGCACAGCTAAATTATTAGGCACAAATGTCTGTATAAACTTCTAAACGGAAATTCACTTTCACATTTTGTGTGCATTTTTGAGATTTGGACCAAAAAAAAAAAAAAAGTATATTGTTTATTGCTGAATTTCATGAAGACCTTACATTTACATTTATTAATTTTTCACGTTATTATCCACTTGAACAAATGAGGAAAACATCACAATCAATTTGTCACAACATTCGCAGTGTTTAAACAGCGTCTGCGTTACCTGCTGATTCTGCTGCGCTGCTCGCTCAGTGCTGCTGGGGGTCAGACACGAGGAGTACGGCATGAAGCCCATCATCTGCTCCATGCTCCGGCCGTCTGGTGTCTTGGGAAAGGCCATGGGCTGGCCGTACAGACCCGTGTCCATCTGAGGCATCTGAGCGCTCATGCTGCTGGAGTCAGGGTTCAGGGAGGACTGATGATGGAGAGCAAACATACAGATGGAGGACGCAGGACTGTCGGAGATGGACATCTGTGGATGAAGACGATCCGAGACTGAACTCCAACAACATAAAGTGACCAATCCTCTGACAGGAGTAGAACAGATGAGACGTTTCTGTACTTACGGCTTGTAAACGCTGCTCTTCTCAAGCACAATCTTGATGTGTTCCTCCACAGGATCCGTTATGATACAGGTACAATGACACCATCACTTCCTCTGTCACAACCACCCCTCCTTCCCCTCCAATTATTGTTATGTTGCATCATAGATTAACTTCTTTTTTCCTTTTCCCTGTTTTATAAGCACTTTCTACATTGATTAAATCCTAATGTATCTCTGTTGCCCAAAATACATGTTTCTGATACATCTTTGAGTGTTTTATTAGTTATTTCCTGCACACATAAAATAAGCAAATGCAAAAATGGTTTCTGAAAAACATTGAAATAAAATATATTAAAGTGATTAAACATTAAAATGTTTTTAAAATCTGATTTATTTCATATGATTAACTATTTTTATTTCTTATTTTTTTTACTATTATCTAACTTATTAAATATTAGTAATTATATGTTTAAAAATATAAAAGTTAGATAATAACAGTAAAAAATAAGAATTTTTTTTTAATGTTAATAATAATTTTTATAAATATTAGTAAAATATTTAGCATTTATATCATAAGTTAGATAATAATAGAAATAAATATTAGACATGAAAAAGTTAATTAGAAAATGATTAAAAACTAAATATTAAATATTAGTAATTATGTTTAAAAATATATATTTACAAATAGTGTTTAATCATATTTTCTAATTATTAACTTTTTCATATCTAATATTTATTTCTATTATCTAACTTATTATATAAATGTTAAATAGGTTACAAATATTTATAAAAAAAAAATTATTTCAATTTAAAATTATTATTAACATTAAAATGGTTTTAAAAATCGGTTTATTTCATATGATTAACTATTTTTTATTTCTTATCTAATATTTATTTCTAACTAATATTATATAACTTAATATTTTTAAACAATTACTAATATTTAGTATTTACAAAAAGTTTCTACTGAACTTTTTTTGTATCTAAATAAAAAAAGTTATAAATAAAATGTTAAATATATTACTAATATTTATAATTTTTTTAATTCAATTTCAAATTATTATTAACTATCTTTATTTCTTATCTAATATTTGTTTCTAACTATTATTATCCAACTTCTTATATAATTTGAAATATGTAATTACTAGTATTTACTATCCACTATTAGAATTATTACTTAGTTTATTCTCAGGCATAATAAATAAACACACAGAAATTGCACAGCTAAATTATTAGGCAGAAATGTCTGTCTAAAATTTGAAACTGACATTCACATTTTGTGTGCATTTTCAAGACATGGACCAAAACATACAAATTAACATATACACAATACAAAAGTAAAATTTCACCAAATCTAAAATTAAACGTCAAAAATGCAGGATGTGTAAATATTCCGTCGTGACCTAAAAGTCTCCAAAACTCCACACTGTTACAGAAGTACCTGGCTAATGTTACATTGTTTCCTCATCATTCCTGAAAGCCTCACGGCTGATTGGCCAATCAGAGGAGACTTACTGGCGCCTCCTGCAGCAAGACTGAGGAACTGCCAAAGAAGGAATAAAATAATAATAATAATGTGTACAGGGATGAAAACGGTTCAGAAAAACTGGGCCACTTTTTGCCATTCACCGTGAGAAATGATTAATGACCTAACATTTCTAAAATGAGTTTAATAGAGAGCATCATTCCCTACCAAAGTCAAGCTGTCATAAAATGAATTAATTTACCTTTAAATATTAACACAACAACCGTAACATAATATGAAGACCAAACAAAAACCGACACTCACCTGTGACTCTGTGTTCATATGAACTGGAACGAGTGATGCAGATCTTCAGAAAATCATTTTATTTGTCAGTGGTACAAATGTAAAATAAGGGCTTTCTGGTACAGTAAAAAAAAAAAAAAAAAGTTTTTAGTAATGCAAAGTCAT